AAAAAACAAGTCCCGGTAGCTGCTGCATACGCATGATAGAGAGCTATAGCTTGTTATATATATGGAAAATTCTTTCACTATTGGTTCTTAAACTACGGTGGCAGCATAATGAAAAAGGATAAGTTTGTTGACATCGAGCATATCAGAGCGTATTTCAATAGAGGTTCCAAGGCAACTGTTTATTTCATGTTTTGACTTTGTTAGGAACGTATACTCTAAAAAACAATCAGTTTTCTCGGAATCCTATAGAAGGTTTCCGGGTTTGTCACTATATGAAACCCTTCATAGGTTTCTGAGAAGGATTTCCAACCTCTCAGAAACCTATCGGAAACCATTAAAAACGACTGAAAAAGCTCAAGGTTTTGGAAATTCCAGTAGAGATTTCTGGAATTTCGACAACCATTTATAGTCAGTTTAAAAAGTAATCGGACACTTGACGTCACTCCCATCCTTCCAGACAAGTCATATTGGTCAATGCAATATAAACTGCATGGATTTTTTCAAAATATCCTGGGAGTGTAGCTGAGAGATTGTGTTAAAATTTTTCGCTCAATGCAATCACATTTGAGGAAGGTATTCACCAAGCAAAGATCAAAACTAACTAATTTGGTTATCCAAAATTCTCTGTAGACGTTACTTCTGTATAATTCAGTTCTTGTTGTTTGAAAGAGATTGTCAAGATGGGCGTGAGTGTGGGTGTGAAGGTGGGTATGTGTCTCTTGTGTACAGCTATTCTCACATCCACATTCACACCCACATTTGAGTCTAAGAACTGAGATGATAAAAGAAAAATCGAAACTCGAGCAAAAAGTTGAATTCCTGATGATGGAACGTTCCCAACTGATTCTCACCGTTCGAACTCACATTTTGTTTGTGGCTAGAGGTGATCATGTATATAAATTATCTAAAAGGGTTCGTGCCATGGTTGCTTCGTTACAGATTTACGAGCGGAACAAGTCTCATAGTAGATGGCGGCACATTCTCTGTCTTATTCCTTTTTGTTTTATTTTTTTCGTATCTGAACCAAAACATTTTTTTCAGTTGAACATGTGATGATCGACTTATTCCATTTATCACTATTCGCTCTAAAGTTCTTAGTTGAATATGATGATGCGTTTAGAGGAGTTCTTCTGGCGACTGTTCTGTTACAAGCATATAACATACTACGCATTCTTGAAGAAAAAATAGAACACATTTTTCTTTACATTCTACAGAATAGAACTCTTTTATTATATCGAGTACAATTTTTGAATTTTGTTGCTTGGCTATGACCTTTTTCGATCACTGAAGAAGCCAACTACTAATAGAAAAAAATCTAGAAAAAAAGACGATAACCTGCACAACATATCAAAAGTATTATCAAATTTCATTTTATTTTCAATTTGGTTACAATGCGCCATCGACAATTACTCTTGATGAACAATATGTTGCTCGAAATTTATTCAACTGTTTAAATTCCATTCTCGAAAGTACTTCGTATCTTTTTGAAAATGAAACTACACTTGATCATGACGATGTATTAGATGGTCCCAATTCCCAAGATCCTGCTTCAACAGTGCCAGCATTTAAACGTCTTGATGTGTCACCTAATATTGATTATCAACTAATTGACGAACATAATTTCGAAAATCATTTTTCGTTGGACTACATAAAACGTGCTGTGAATTATTTTGATGAAAAAGATCCACTCACAGGACAACGTAAAAGAAATTGGTGTATTGTAAAACACATGTTTCGACGCATTCCAAATCCTCAATATGTTACTCGTTTTCGAAAATATATTGAAATCGGTGGTACAAAAAAAAAGAATACCACAGAGAATGCGGCACCATCTACTACGATATTAGTTGCGCTCGTAACTCTGTAACCAAGCAGCAATAGCACGAATCCTTTT